GTGTGACAAATTGATCAAATTACAAACTAGTAGAGTTACGTACTACAAGAATATCAACAAATGGTGAACGTACTGTTGTCCCTCCAATTCATGGGTAAATTGAAAACATAGTAAGAGAGAATATAGTATCGCTACTCATTATTAAACCCGAGTCAGGTATAGGGCTGGTAAATAGTATAACAAATGAACATCAGAATCAATATCGTCGTAAAATCATGAAACACATAGAGATAAAAATAACTAAAATACCCTTAAGTGCTAATGACCAAAATAGAGCAGCTTAATAAACTATCAGGAATAAGAAACTAATAAACTTTCGTATAATGTTCTAGAAGAGAACAAGTGATATAGCATCTAGTGAGGGTTAACATCACTTTAGTGTGTCGAGCTACACTAGTGTGTAGTTAGGCTACGTCAGTTGCCATATTAGGGCATTGTGAGGGTCAGGTGGCCTTTGGGCCCTCAGTTATGCATGTATAGTTGCATCATTATAGTACAACAGATATCATAAAAGCTTGGCTAGATGGCTATGTGAGACCGAGCCAATTATTTATTTGAGCGGGAATTGTATCGATGTTATATGACACCGGGTTCCCCGTCCATGATCTATCTGATGTCTATGTGAGACCAGGGGATCATTCAACATCTATCTGATGGCTAGATATTGGTAGTGTTGCATTCAGATAATGCACAACAGAGTCAGTGTTGCATTTAGATAATGCACAAGAGTGTTAGTATTGCTTTTAGATAATGTGTAGCAGTTACATTCATTAGGGTTAGAGTCATTTTAGTAGTGTACTCATGGCGAGGCTCTTAGTAGAGGATTAAGGGAAGCGTGAGACTTCTACTTCAGTGATAGAATAGTTAAGCCCTAAGTAGGTAGCACTTGATTAAGATCAAGCATGTACCTACTGCATAGTACCATGTCTTTAGCACGAGATATGAATTCAATAAGAGTAAAACTTGACCTTATACATGTACATTATTCACCACAAAGGCATTGAAAGATATATATTATATGTTTTTTCATCATTTCGTTTGATACATTAAACTTGCATAATTAACTTGGGTATTGTTTGATACATTAAACTTACATAATTAGGTTGGGTATATATATGGATGGTCTAAATATTTGAATTAAACGAGTCTCAACCTAATCCGATTGAGCAGTTTTTTTAACTCTTGGGTTAGAGGCGGGAGGTTAGATTTAAGGTGAAAAATCACCGAACCTGAACTAATCTGATATGAATTATTAATTTATTTTTATATGTGTATAATATATTTAAGATTTTAGAGATTTTTATTTTTTATAATGTTAAAATATATTCCCTAGTTATGAAAAATATAAAATATATTATTTTCATCGTTTAAAATTTAATTAATGATTATAAATATATTATTATAATATATTATTTTAACTATTTTAAAATATTAATATATTCATATCGGAAGGGGTCAGAATTTTAATCTAAAAATCGAGACAAATTTGGGAAAAGAGAAAGCTAGACGAGATCGAGTATAAGCAATATATTTCAGGTCGGGACTAGGACGATCAAAATATTAGCCCATCCTACCCCATGCCCATCCATAAGTATTCATTCTGAATTTTTCAACCAATGAGCGTATGACATATCCATCAACGAACCCAAAATTAATTTCCTACTTAGGTTTAGTTTGGTATAACTTTGGAATAGTGACTTTTAAAAGTGTACAAAAATGCAATTTAAAATTTAATTGTTTGAGATTGGTGTTAAAAATTGAGTTTGAAAAGATAAAATGTCTATTATAAATATTATGTTATAAATTAAAAATATAACATTTAAATTATATTTACACTTATATATGAATTACATCAATTTAAACTATAAATTTAAACAAAACTATTATTATACATGAATTATATTAATTTAAACTATAACAAAAATATAAATAAAAAATATAATTATAATAAAAAAATTATTTTATATAATTCAATATTAATATTTTAATATATAAATAATAAATTTTATTTATTTTTAAATAATTAAAATAAATTATTAAAAGTAATAAATTATATTTTAAAGATGTTAGTATTAAGTTATTAAAATAAAATACGAATACATAATTGAGTAGAACTTATGTATTAGTAAGGGTAAAATTATAATTTGCTTTCAAATTCAAAGTTGAAAATGAAAATACTATAAATTTTAGCTTTTGTTGTTGGTCTGAAACTAATGTTTCCACCTCATTTTTTTCATTACCCGTTTGACATTATTTTTATTGTCAAAATTTTTTTTTAACTGAAAATGCTTTTAGAAAATCTTACCAAACAGACCCTTAAACTTTTGACACGTGAATCGATTAAAGATTATATTTAACCAATGTTTGAATAGATTATGACTCACAGGTTTAAAATAACAAAATAAAAATATTAAAAGAATAATATAATTTAAAAATCAATCATTATTTTAATAAAATATAATTAGAATAGGTTTTATTGTATTAAACCAAAATAAAAAGTATTAATTTAAATTTTAAAGTATAAACAAAACCACAAAGAATATAGTGAAATATCAATAAAATAAATACACAATATTTCTTCATTATAAATTTTCTATATGCACTTGCTCATGAATTATTTTAAATTTAAATATGATTATACTTATCATGAAATTTTCAATGTAGAAAACCCCCTTAAGAAAAGCACAAGGAGAAAATTAAATTTTAAAAAGAGTTAATTGCATCATACATCCTAATCTATGACTCTCATTTCAAATTGGTCATTAAACTTTTAAACATTTCAACCTCATCCTTAAACTATGACTATTATTTTAAACTAGTCCTCAAACTTTTGAACTTTCATTTTCATCCTCAAACTGTGATCTTCATTCTAAATTGGTATCCAAACTTTTTGAATATTTCAATTTTATCCTAAATTATAGGTATATGCTAATCACATGTCTTGTTAATAAAATCATTAGACCAAGTTATATTATTGTATGTTTGAAAAATATAGGCTAAACTATGGTTGGAATGGATTATATATTTGGATGAATTTGGGGATAAAATTGGAATGCTCGAAAGTTTAAGGAGTAATTTAGAATAAGAGTCATAGTTTGAGGATTTAATTGGAATGTTTAAAATTTTAAGGTATAATTTGAAATGAGGGTAATAGTTTTAGGGATATATGATACAATTGACTCTTTAAAAAAATAAAGTTAAAATAAGTATTAGCTCTTTTTTCAATTAAATACATTTGAGTTTTTCAGTTTTAGTTATCAATTAGTTCTCAAGAGACGACCCTGTGACCCAATGGATAAAGCAGCTGGGGTACGGAACCAGAGATTCTCGGTTCGATCTCCAGCAGAGAGTCGGTTATTCAATTTCTCTAAGGAAAAAAGGGTAAAACTTGTAGTAGTCCCTTGGTTTTAAGATTTTTTTATGTTGAATGAGATTCATGTAATCTCTTTCCTAACTCATTTCTACCCCCAACCTTTTGTACTGAAAACATGAAAGAAACACAGTGAAGAAGTAGTGTTGCCACCATCATTCATTAATCTGTCATCATCACTACAAGAAGTCGATGCTTGTGGCTGATGGTGAGATCCCAGATGATTTAGATGTACTTTTACTGAACCTAATGAGTATGTGTATTTGCTTTTTTGATAAAAAGAATCCAAAGCTAGTCAAACAAATTTCAAAGTGCATTACTTTTACTACATGGTTCAGGCAACAACACTTTTTGGTTAACCCTTTGAGTCACTACGTCTACGATCACTGCATTCTCTTGATGATCAAAGGGTAGGCCTTGCTGATGAGCCTGGGTGTTGGGTAAAGTTCTATGCCATGAATCTCCTCTTTTATCATTCTAGCAGAGAAGGACTATGAATGAACTCAAATTGGGAAACAATATATATAGCTAAAAATGTATATTTTTGTGAGGAACAAGAAGTTTGTCTCTCAACCAGGGGTTCTTGGAGTGTCGATTCAGGAGCACCAGTCATAAATGTAGTCCTAATACGTACAAATATTGCAGCAATGGCCGATACAATCCCATCTATCACTCTCCATCCAATCCCGTGTTAACATGGTAAGCTGTTCTCAAACAAATAGCTACAATGACGAGCCATGTACGGTAGCACTGCCACGATGAAGTAGAAAGTTTAGTAGTGTTTAAAATCACCCCACACATAATAGCAAACGTAAAACTCCAAGCTCTTGCACCTTCAAGATTAATCTCAAGGCTATCACATTATAACCACTTTCAAATCTAAAACCAATTGGAAAGATGACGGAGTATAATTTTCACACAAATCTGACTAGTTAATGATAAGCTAAGAAAAATAATATGGGAGTGACCAGCAATATGAAAGATGTGTTAACCCCAAAGTTATGATCAAATCTAATGTAGAAAGGATTCACATTTGTCGTTTAATTTACCTTGTACATTTGTCGTTAAGGGGTTATGAGTAAGAGATTAAAATCAAACGGATCAATAACATAATGGACTAAAACCACTCTTTTTTCTGAACTAGTGACTAACAACATCAATCAGACTAAAAACATTAAGGATCATCCGTATAGTTTACTCTACATTAAAATAAACTTCAATTTAAATTTTAAAATATAAATAAAAAATACAATGAAATGTCAATAAAAATAAATGCAAAATATTTCATCTTAATTTTTCTATATGCACTTGCTCATGAATTATTTAAAATTTAAATATTTATATTACTTATATAAAATATTTATAATAGAAAAAAGACCCTAAAGAAATGCATAAGGAGGAAATTATTTAAAAAATAAACAAAAACAATTTAAATTAAGCATTAGTTCTTTTTTTAATTTAATATATTGAGCTCAATAAGTGCTACGCATATGACTCCGTGGCCCAATGGATAAGGCGCTGGTCTACGAAACCAGAGATTCTGGGTTCGATCCCCAGCGGAGTCGGTTCTTATTAACTTCACCTTTTGAACCATTCATGAAGGAATATTTGTATTTGCTTTTTGATGAAAAGAATTCGAAGTTAGTCAAACAGATTCCGAAGTGCATTACTTTTACTACATGGTTCAGGCAACAACACTTTCTGGTTAACCCTTTGAGTCACTACAATCACTGCATCCTCTCGATGATCAGAGGATAAAGTTTGCTGCTGCTGATTAGCCTGTGAATGTAAGTTGGGTAACATCAAGCCTTGCTTTTGTATATGCTCCCATTTGTCCTGGAAGAGGTAAAGTAAAGCCATGAACGAGACTTGAGCTGTGAAAAGTATGGTCCAAATGCCAGTGCCTTTTGATGTCTTCTTATGGTATGCTTCTAAACCAGTATAGATGTTTATGATCCCCACCGTTGATGTTGTTGTTCCCAGAATCCAATGTGTTATGTACCATGTACTTCTCCTCTTACCTTCTCTGCATGAAAAAGGAAAGCAAAATTGAACAAAAAACAGTGTCTTACTGAAGTTAAGGGCAACTGGATTGATGGTTTACCTAGGAGGCCTGAGAAATCCAACCAGAGCTTGCATCCAAATGGCACCGTACAGGGCAAGGCCTAATCTTTGGTGGTTGTTATTGAACGAATTCTCCAAGTTCTTTATGGACATTATAGCTCCAACTGTTGCAAGAAGCACTGCGAGTGTCTGCCAAAACTGAATTAGTGTAAATAGAAAACTAATGATATTAGTTACGTCTTGAATACACATCTTCCTGCCAATCGTAGTTTAACCTCTGATAACGATTTTCTTCCTAAATAAGAAGAGATGAACCGTGCACGAGAGGCATAACCATCTTGTTCCCATTAGCAAATATCATTTAGTTAATTATCGGTATATGCCTACGAATATACAGTGATATAGTAAAGCAAAAGTTTATTACCTGCAACACACCATGGAGATAAAATAAAACTTTAACCCTTGTTCCACCTTCCTCTTTGTTGGCCATTCTAATAGTAAGTACACCAACAGGCATTAAGAACCCCATGGAAACCCAGAGGAAAAGGCCGTGAACAGCTATATGAGATGTCATTTGTGGACTCACCTGCGGTATTCCATGCATGTTCATTTTTCATGTTGAATTATCATCAAAAAATAAAGGGAACACTCTATTGATCATTAATTTGAACATGGAAAAAAGAAGAAGAAAATTTCGGCATACCTTGTGCACATTTTCTCTAATGTTGGTGTGACTAACAACCTCTCCATCAGATGAGCAAGAAACAATTGGTAAAAGCAAAGCATAAGATAATGCAGCAATGATGAAATACCTTAGCAAATGATCAGGAACTTGCATCTCCAATGTATCAATTTCCAAGCAATGGAAAAGAAAGCAGCTTCAACTACCAATCCTCCCTCTCAAAACATGGGTTTATAAAATGAGTCAGCTCTTTAAGAAACAGCTTAAACTTTTCTTTTTGGATGAAGGAGAGGTAATGTGCTATGATTACTGAAATACAAAAAAGGGAGATGAGCAAAGTGCAAACCTAACATTGAGTATTGGTTTAAATAGTTTAAAACTTAAAAGCATAATGGTGCTTTTTGGAGGAGATTTTAAAATTATTCTAAGTTAACCTTTATTTTTTTAAGCTGACAATGAGAGAAAGAAAGTATAATATAGCATTGTTGATGGTAAAAGTGTAGATTGAGATAATTATAGGTGGTTCATTTTCTCTATTTGAGCAGATAATTATTGTAAGTGGTTCTATGATAGGGAGAGAAAGATGATAAACTAAAAAAGATAATGAATAGCAGAGAAGGTTCATACTATGAGGAGAAAAAGAAAGAACCATAGTCAGTTTTGTACGAGATTTATATACGGGCCTTGGTGTTAGTGTCAGATCTCAGATGATGATAATTATTTATAAATCACAAGGTAAATAAAGCTAATAGAGCAACAATCGTATTACGAGATTATAACATTCTAGAGGATAAGAAACTCTGAAAACTTCTCATAAATTCTAAAAGTTCTAATAGGCTGTGGATGGGCAACGAAGATGCAACTTACAAGGGATTATAGTATTCTAAAGAATAAAGTCATAGGCCAAAACCAAATTTGATGAAATCCAAAGATAAAAAAGAAAAAATGACTAAGAGAGATGCAGATAGTGATTTGAAAAAGGCTTAAGAATCTTTGTCCCACCAATGGAGCACTGCACTCCATTTCTTCACGTTCATCATTAGGGTGCGCACCATCACTAACTTACAAACCTCAAAGACATGTAGGTCCTAGTTTCTTTTTTTTTTTTGATTATTCGGTAGAGGTAATGTCCATCAACAATGCGACACTATTTTAATGAATGTGTCACATTAAAGATAAAGTCACGTAAATTATCATATTACGTCAGTGATAAAAGAATTGTTATTATTTTTTGATGATTTGGGTTCGAGTACTATAGATGTTAGAAGTGTGAGTGTTCAATATTAAAAAGATGAAAAGTTGTCTTTGAACATATATAGTCTCATCCTTATCCCATGTTAATAAATAAAAAAGTTGATATATTGTTCCAAATCAAAATTTTGAAAAAGAAAACCCAGAAATCAGAATCGTTGAACTTGCAGCTGGAGAGATGTAAGACTGGTAAAATCACAGGTTGAAGCTTTGAATATACAGGTTTCAGATAATGTTTGGTTTAGAAAAAAAGAGTGAAAACTTGAAAAGGATATTCGTCAACTGAATAATGAGATTAAATCTTTTGGCAAAGTCGTAGTAATCATTAGCCATTGCAATAAAATTCAATGAGCAATTCTTAAAGAAGATCATCATAGATTTGGTAGGCGATCACCATCATCATTATTCTTTGCCCCCATGATAACCTGCTAGGTTTATTTTCTTTTGTGTTGGGTTTCATTCAGTTCAGGGATTTAAACCTTAGTTCGTTATCAAAATAGCGGTCATGATACCATCTAAAATTGTTATTCTATAATCACAATACTTACAATAACTATAATAACATTCGTTATGTATGTAATCGCGATAAATATAATACAATCGAAAACACAAATATAATTGTAATTTAAAAGGTTTTCTTAAAAGGCTAGTATTTATCAACTTGGTTGAAACGTTGGTTTTTTACCATTATAGAAAACCTAAAAACCTGCATATGGAATGGTTTCATTGGTATATACTGTGGGCTGATTATGTTTATTATATGATTAATATAACCTTTGTTCAAGGGCATGGTAAAGATTGAGAAATTGATTAATATTATTAATTAACAAACATCCAATTAGTTAGTGATTGATTAAGTTTGATTGAAGGCAAAGACGGCGGTGGTGCTTCTTTTTATGAAAGTGAAGTGCTTGTTCTTTATTTTTGAACAGGTAAAGTTCAAATTAATTATTTTAAAAATTAAACAAGAAATACACATGTCAGCTTATTAGTGGAACATCTGAATTGTTTTTTATCTAATATTAGGATTTATTTAGAAGAAAATACCAAATTAAAAAATTAAAAAAAATATTTCAAGTGGAAAGTTATTTAGAGGATTATAACCCTTAAATTCAAGCAAACCTGGGAGCTCAAGTAAAATTGTTTCAACAAGATGACGTACCATAACTCATAAGCAGATAAAATGAGATATTGAAATCCAACTAAGTTCAACTAGTCTGGTTCTCAAACAAAAACATCCGAACAATAAACTTTAAACTCTCATTTATGAAAGAGAAATTACATAAACAGGTTGGGCCTTGATGCCTTGTAGGTTGTCTTCAGCTTCCTGGTAGGTGGCCTCACCTTCTTCACCACCAAGGGGAACTTGATTTTGAGTTGTGGAACTGCTTGGTGTTGTCCCTCTTGCATAGCTTGGCTGGGATGGTTGCGGTCTTGATGATCTGAATGCACGGGAACCTAACTCTGTGGCGAGAAGCCATCTCAGTATACATCTGTTCAACAGCTCCGTTCAAAGTAGTATCTCGGTATTCCTTGTACATATTGTGATAACCAGTACGACTTTGGTAACGAAGCCAAATACCATAATTCTTGATCGTAGTAGGATTCTTCTCAAATATCTGCAGATAATTTATTTTAGACAAAAAGGCATTGAAAAGAAATTTGATAAATGCATCAAAAACCAAGTTACAAATGCTTCATAAGATAATCAATATGCAACCATTAACATTTCTTTTCCTTTTTCAAACAGGAGGACCTTATAAAATAGTGAATGACATGTGCTCAACAAGCAGAGATAAGAGTAAGAGATCACATGTAAAGTTTATCCAAGGATCAACCAACTTGCATTCGAGGAACTCTAGCTTTCAATATCCTTAATCATACAATGCAATGGCATTCCCGAGAAATAAATGAGAAATGATATCAAAAAGTAATTTTCTACAAAGAAAGGGTACAGCATGAAGGACAAGATACTTCATATTCAAGATGCATGGAACTCTTAAAGCGTAAATAAAATTCCCTAAATCCTAAATCACGTGTTACTTATCATCTAATTCCCAAGTTTCTTACAGGATAAATTTAAAAATGTAGCTTACCAGATACAAGCTTTGATATGCATTGCATAGGCATAAACTAAATGTTACCAAATCTCACATAACCAACATGACTAGCTCTAAGAAAATTACCAAAACATACAAGAGAAAGTATACTTCTATTCACATTTCAACATAACATCCAAATAATAAATTACTTCATATAAAGTGAACCAGCAAATATACAACATCCAGCACACACCTCATTGATGGCAAGGACTTGACCATTGCTTTTCTTAACCTTCTTCAGCTTCCTCAAGAAATACCTGATAAACATTCAAAGATAGAAACTTCAATCAAATGGGATTAAAATTAAAACCCAGAAAATCACGGATGCCAATCGAAACAATCACTAACCAGAACTTGGACTTGGCCCGAACCTCGTTGGTGGCCCAAAGCTTCATCCTGTAAATCTTAGGGTGTTCATCTCTCTCCGTTGGGTGAGCCCTCCCAACAACCTGGTACTGGTGAAACTACAACCATAAACAACAACAAATCGAAACTTAAATATAATCCCCCATGGTAATCAACAAAAGCATGAAAAATTACTCCATTTAGTTTCTAATAAGACGAAATGAAGCCTTTTATGCCACATTTTACGAACAATTTCCAGCGAAATGAAAAAAATAAAAGCACATGGATCTAGACATAGTATAATTACAAAACCAACACCGAATCTACACACTAACTGCTTAAAAATAGACCAAAACGAGTAATCATCGTAGAATTCTGGAGCTAGAAAAGGGGAATCAATAGGGTTACGTAAAAGATCTGAGGAAAGAGAAACGTTGATCGCTTACCCTGAAAGTAACCATTTCTGATGAAAGAGTATCTGAAGAATTTAGCACAGAAGGCGAAACTAGGGTTTTCTTTAGATTATATAGTAGTAGAACTTGACAGATCAAAACCCTAGATCAAAAAACACGGGCCGGGTCAGGTTAAATTTAGTTATGTAGTATATGGGTTAAGATCGGGTTGAAATTTTATATCCGGTCCAAAATTAAATGATTTAAGGTTTGGGTGTAGGCAAAATTTACTCCATAGATTAGTTGGGTAAAAAAAAATAACCCATTAAATCATCTTTAAAATTAATTTAGGATATACGGTATTTATTACAGTAATTTAAAACTCGTCACGTCGTCTTGATGAGTTTTAATAAAATATATTTTTATATCGCCTTGATATGACAAATTCTAATAAAAATTATTTTTTTAAAACTCATCAAGTTGACTTATCCAGTTTGAATAAAAAAATATTATTTGGACAAACTCGTCATATTGATGTGATGAGTTTATCCTATATTGTAGTATTTATTGTAGATCCCAAATTAAATTTTGAATTGACTTAATGATAAAATTTTCAAACTTGACTCGAACTCGAAACCATGAATTGAAGCTCGAAATAAAAAAAAAAAATCTTAAACATACCTAATTTGATTCATTTTATCATCTTGTTATATTATCTTGTATTATCATGTTCATATACATCCATTCACCCATTTTTTATATACATTCAAAACATGCATTATGGACCACCAAGAAATCTATACAAAGGAACTTTACACAAATTATATATTTACCACTACAAAAAAGACAATAACCTATTTGACAATAGATCTTTGTGACTCATACTCAAAAACAGCTCATTGGTATCCCTTAATTACTATGTGAACTTGTACACGTGTAGGAAAACATAATCAAATGTTAAGTCATACTTCATACATAGATATCATAGGTATAAACTTAAAAACGTTTATCAATGCAATATCATAATTTGCATACATGTCATCAAACTTGATGACATACACAATTAGGGATGGGCATAGGACCCGAACCCGACGAGTTTTGACCTAACTCGATCGGGTCAGGGTTTTTTAAAAAATCGGGTTCAAGTTTGGGTCGGGTCGGTTCGGGTCGTATTTTTTAAAGTGATGTTCGGGTCAGATTCAGGTTTAGGGTGAAAAATACCCGACCCGGCCAAAAAAATATATAATTTTATCTTATATTTAGGAATAATTATAATAATATCC